CCTGAAGGTGTTCTACTGCAGGTTTGACAAACAACACTCCCTGCTCACCCCTCCTCCCCAAACCCAGCAGCTGCTCCCCCGAGAATCACCACCCTTCCCTCCAGCCCCCCACCTCTAACGATCTGGGAAAATGATGCGTTTAAACAAACAAAGGATCAGAATGGCGTGACCCCCTCCTGCCTGAAAGTGTGTGCAGATCAGCTGGCCTCCATCTTCACAGTCATCTACAACAGGTCACCAGAGCTGTGTGAGGTCCCCTCCTGCTTCAAATGCTCCACCATCATCCCAGTCCCCAAGAAACCCTCCATCAGTGGACTGAATGACTACAGACCTGTCTCCCTGACATCTGTAGTTATGAAGTCCTTTGAAAGATTGTTGTTGGCCCACCTGAAAGACACCATAGTCCCCCTGCTAGACCCCTTGCAGTTTGCCTACTGGGCAAACTGGTCAGTGGATGATGCAGTTAACATGGCACTGCATTACATCTTGTAACACCTCAACTACCCAGGGACATATGCACGGGCCCTCTTTGTGGACTTCAGCTCAGCGTTCAACACCCGGCCATCCTCCACTCCAAACTCACCCAGCTCACTGTGCCTGCCCCCACCTGTCAGTGGATTACCAGCTTTCTGGCAGACAGGAAGCAGCAGGTGAGGCTGTGGAAAACCATATCCAGCACCCGGACAATAAGCACAGGTGCCCCCCAGGGATGTGTGCTCTCCCCTCTGCTGTTTTCACTCTACACTAACAACTGGACTGCATCTTTAAAGACCCCTCTGTCAAGCTCCTTGAGTTTGCTGATGACACCATGGTCATTGGTCTCACCCCAGACAGTGACGAGTCAACCTACAGATGGGAGGTTGAGCAGCTGGTCCTGTGGTGTAGTTGCAACAACCTGGAGCTGAACACGCTCAAAACAGTGGAGATGACAGTGGACTTCAGGAAGAACCCCTCACTGTACTTGGCAACACTGTATCAGCAGCAAAAAGTTCCCAGGCTCCACTATCTCCTAGGACATGAAGTAGACGTCTAACATCAGGACCATCATCAATAAGGCACAGCACAGGATGTACTTCCTGTGCCAGCTCAGGAATCTGTTCTCTGCACCTCCATCACTGTCTGGTTTGCCTTAGCAACCAAACAGGACAGGAACAGACTCGAGCAGACAGTCAGGACTGCAGAAAAGATCATTGGTGCAAGCCTGCCCTCTATGGAGGACCTGTACACCTCACAGGTCAAAAGCAGGGCGGAGAGGATCACTGCAGACCCCTCACACCCTGGACACAACCTGTTTGAACTCCTCCCCTCTGGACGGTGTTACAGGTCACTGTGCACCAAGACAACCAGGCTGCTTCTGCATAGAAGTACTACAGCATATGTACAACCTCATTTTTTGAGCTTTATTTCATGTCTAAGATGATAACTGTAACATTGTAGATAAGTCAGAAAACAAAAAAAAGAATGCAAGGGGTCTTTAAGCAGAATTACAGGATTCACTGTCCTGTAAGGAAAGCTAACACTAGAACCGCCATGAGGTAATTTTGACCTTTCTTGCCTATTAAAATGCATGTGACTTTGTTTGAATAAAAACCCTAAGTCTCCCAGTCGATGACTTTTCCGAAAAGTTTGTTACACATCATCTTATGCGTTTTGGGGATTCTGGAATAAAAGAGAGAGGTAAAAAAAAAGTGGTTTTACCTAGAACCGCCATGAGGTCATTTTGACCTCTATTACTCCTAATGCAAAAATGGTAAATAAACTACACTTATATAGCTATATACGTTATATTGCCAGTAAGACAAACAGCTCAAAACACTTTACAGTAATGCCTCACATTCCCCCATTCTTACACACACACACACTTTCCAAAATGAGTGCAGACAGTATAGTGATGAACGTGATGCGGCCTTACCTAGGCAAGGGGAGAAACGTCACTACAGACAACTTTTTATACATCACTCCCCCTTGTTCATAAACTCCTAGTAAGGAACACCAGCCTGGTAGGCACTGTGAACAAAAACCTTCTGTGCATCAGAAAGCAACACTGCATGACATCAAAGTGATGAAGAGTGACAAGGCAATGCTCATAATATACCAGGGCAAGGTGAACAAAAATGTGTGCATCCTCAGCACAATGCACCAGATGGTGAACGTGGAAAGTGACAGCCAGAAGAAAAAGCCTACTAATCTTACATACTGTAGCTGTGTCAATGGAAAACTTGCTTTGATCATTATTTAACATGAAATACAATAAATAATTACATTCTTTTTATATAATATATTGTTCTGTATGAGAATGCATAATGTAGGTCAAACTACTGCATATTTTCTACAATATGCACACACTTTAAAGCTGGTTTCTGTATTTTCTATTTTTTATCTTGGAAAATACAACAAACCCATATTAAGGTTTGGTCTGATAATATTTTTGAGTTTTATTAAACCTATCTGCACGCAGAACTTTCATTATCTTATTTTCAGCATTTACATAAACCTTGTTAAATTTCTTCAGCAAATTGTAAAACAACACAAATGTGGAGTAAATTCTGGCTAGGTTAGACTTCATTTAAACTGGACTATTAGAAAACACATTGAAAATAAATACAGTGAAATAAATGTATTTATATTAATTGTGCTGCTTATTACAGTATTATTTTGTAAAAAAAACAAACTTTAATACTATTATAATATACTGGTGATGGTAACAAAACAACTTTAAATATTGTACTCTTTTATAAAGATTACAGGATGTGCTGTATAATTGGAGGACAGTCTGTGGTTCAACTATTGCATGTGATGAAGAAGGAACAGAGAGAAAACAATCACTACATTATGAAAATAAGAATAACAATTCTGAACTTATCCTGACTGAGTAGTTGTCACTTCAGTGACTGAGCAGCAGGACAAAAAAGGTCCTTTCACAGAAAAGGTCATGTGTCTTTTTACAGTCGCTCCACAGTTTCTCTCTGCAGTACATTGGCCTCACAGGAGTTAGGCTTCAGTATCTCAAGGGTAACAATGAGTTTAACAGATTTTCTAAACCAGGGGTACAAAAAGGCATAGATCATAGGGTTTAGACAGGAGTTAAAATATACCACATAAATAATAAATGCGTTAATTGATGAATCCATAATGAGGTCATACCCAGTGAGGGTGAGACAATAATATGGACAAAAACACATGAGAAACACAGCAACAAGGACACCAAGAGTCCTGGCTGCTTTCATCTCTGATTTCTTAACAGTTACAGTCACTGAATGCTGCAGTGTCACAGTTGCAATGTGGGAGCGCATGGCACGGGCCTGAGACACAGCCACCACAAATACTCTCATATACAGAATGATGATGGCAGTAATGGGAAGGATAAACATTAACACCATGTCAACAGCTCCATTATAGTTAACCACACATTCTCCATAGCAGGAATTATACCTGCCTGGTTGTTTCAGGTTATCATATAAAAGCAGAATGCTGTAGAAAACAGCATAAATCCAACACAGAAGAGCAAAGATTTGAACTCTCTTTTGAGTGATTTTGGTGGGGTAGTGCAAAGGGTCACAGATAGCCACATAACGGTCAACTGATATGAGAACCATATGTAATACTGATACATTGACAATAGAAAAGGGTAAGAAATAATACAAAGCACAGACCAAATCACCAAGGAACCAGCAGGGTTCTGCAAAGACGATTTCAAACGGCATCACAAGGAGACCAACAAGGAAGTCAGCTACAGCCAGAGAGAGGAGGAGGAGGTTGGTGGGGGTGTGGAGCTGCCTGCAGTGAGAGAATATGATCACTGTGAATATTACAACATTATGACCAATACAAATAGTGGCTTTATAACATTTATCACAGTTCATAGTACAGTATAACTAAACAGTAAATGGTGTCAGCACTGCTTATGAACAAAAGTCTCATCAAACCACCAGGATGTAATGCTCAGAGGTCACTGATTTCAATGAATCTCACTATAAAAAATATTATCCAGACTAAGACATTTAACTTTACCTGAAGTGGGAGATGGCGATGATGACCAGCAGGTTGAGAGACACAGTCAGTAGTGAGATAGAGGACAGCCCTATGTAAATGAGCATCGTCTCAGAATGAGGACGTGTGTGCTTTTTGCAAGACATGTTGAGGAGTTGTGGAAAGCAAAGTTCAGCTTCCTCCATCATCAGAGAGAGGAGGAGAGGGGAAGCTGCTGAAGACTCACAGCGTTCTGAGCAAAGTTCTGTGTCATACAGCTGTTTTATCTCTCTCATCATTCTCCCTCTTGTTTTCCCTCCTGTATTTCAGTTTTCCCTTTCATGCTTATATCTCTCCTCCCTCACACTATAGCCCTACTCACACATGGGATAGGTAGGATTTCTGTTATCAATATGTTGAAGAGATGACATTTTGTTATTCAGACACAAATACATTTTATGTTATGTTTTGGTCAGTGTAACCAAATAATGTCAATTTGGAAATTTACTTCAACATTTTCAGAGATATGTGTACCCACTACTCCACTGAGCTATGTTCCTAGACTGTTGTGATTGGTAGGCCCAGTGGATGTAGCATCATCTTACATCACTACACTCTAATCTTACATCCCTATTTGTTAATGTGGCAACATCTTCTTCTGACTTGTCCTGTGTTGAAAGTGCTGGGTAAATGTTACTAGGTCCGAAATTGCCGTTGTGCATTTTATACACAGAACAGTGACCAGGGTGCTCATTTAGATATGATGTTGACAATTTCAGATGCCTTTATATTAACAGCACATCTGAAAGTGGCTTTTATACCTATTTTTTATTTTAATTTGTCACTTGTCTCTTGGCTGATTTGTTCATCATCATCTGATCATCTTGACTTAACCCTGGTGTTCTATCCATGTTTAGTTTACACTGGTGGTGTTT